CGTCAGCAGATTCGGTGGTGCTGATATGACAGTGTGTTTATAAGGTATCCAAAGGAAAGTTAACGGTATATAGAGCTTTTGCTGCCATTTAGGACGTGCCAGTAGAATTACCCATGAAGAATATGACAGTAACGATTCTGACCCTTATTATGAGTTACATTCGATTTTCTATCTTCGCTGGCTATCTTAGCAAGGTCGTTGGTTCGAGTCCCACGGCCAGTAGAATTTTCGTATTATTTTTCTTTTTTATTCATTTATTTATTAGTTCTATAATTTTTAACGCTGCTTTCAAAAATTGTTTGGCAATCGCTCCAACCGAGGATCGAACCTGGCACCTCCAGACTTGTAATAAGCAACTTTCACGACTCGGCAACCGCGGACGCCATACTTGCTTACTTTGTTTGCTTACTTGTACGAAAGACAACAACTGGCCGTTTTTACCAGTGCACAGTGGGCGCCTTGTTAATAACTTCGAAAAAAAATAACAAATTTCAGGTATAATATTTTTTGTATATTTTTGTATTTGTATGTTTTGAGAGATCAATAATATTAGAAAATACATGATTTTCGACAACCAAAAACTTTTTTGTTGGTACTGGTTTACTGTGTCAAACTAAAAAAAGAGTGCGTTTTGACTCTGACATCGTACCTAAAAAACGCAAAAAATCAAAAACTTGCCAAAACTTGCACCTAGATCTTCAACTTTATATAGACAATAGTGCATACTAAAATCAAAAATACTGGGGAGAATCCTGTCGAACCAAACTTTTATTCCACAGAAGATTGGGTTACACCATGACTAAACAGTATAAGCACCGGCCACAAACATATTTTTTTTATTTAACACATATCTAATTATTTCAATTAAACCACTAATCCAAACAAAAAGTTCGAAAAATAAAATTTTGTCTGCAAACAAACTGCAAAAAGCGCGAAAATAATTAATGCACTTGCTGAAACATATGCTAAGTTTGAACGCTCACTGCTAGCCAAATATTGTAAGCAAAAAAAAAAACATCAAATCCGTTTTTTTGTTAGTTGTCGAAAAAAATGAAATTTTTCGGAATTCGAAAATTTAAAACTTCACTAAAATGCCGCCAAACTGACCATTTCTCCCACCCTGCAGAGTTGTCATCGAAAATTCCCCAGATCCGAGTTAATTCCCAAAAATTCCGTGCATTTGTTCGGCTGCTCATAGGCATTTGAAAGAGGAAAATAAATAAAGGCTGTTTATGCAGATAAGTGAGCCCGTTTGTCACCCGTATAAGTTGATAAAAAATGTCGAATAGTTGAGCGAGTTTCGCAGAAGTAAACATCCTTTTTTTAAGCGAAAAATCTATTCGGAAGGGCGCACTATCATTCCACAGGGGCTTAGATGGAACCTAGTTTCCGACTACCATCAAAACCAGGGGGAACGCAGGTAGGGGGTTTGGGGGTTCTTAAAAAAATCTACACCCAAAATTTGTTTCGCAATATAAATGTTAAAATATAACTGACAGACTTAACTGTTTTCTTTCATATATAGTAATACGGCTTAATAGCTCTGATCCAGTACTCCATGAACTTACAGGTTTTAACACAAACTTGCTGGAAGTTACAGGATAAATGATCCCGTACTCCAAATTCCTCAAAAATCCAGTAAATGAGAGAGCTATTTGGAGTGTGTAAAATCATGAAAAGTGTCAAGCCATCACTGGTTGACGTTTTTACAGGAAAATGCTTTTTTGTTCCCGTCCTTTTTGGTTGTTACTCACTTTGTACTCTCACTTCAGAGAGAAATTTTGCTGTTTCGACATTTTTACAGGATTTTACACGAAAAGTATGGGATCAGAGCTAACGTGTATATGTTTATTGAATTTAATAAAATAACAAAAAATATATATGTTTGAAAGTTTGTCTTTTATTTACACTTCGAAAATATGGTTACCGTGGGTATCGGTTTGATTTGAAGCAGCTAAGAAGAAATATGGGTGTAAGTAATTGAGAAATAATATTGATAATCTTGTGCCCAGATAAAGTTAGGAAGCGTAAGGCTGACTCTTTCAAAATTTTATTTAACAAGCTGCACGCAGACGGGTTGTCAAGGTAGACTTTCCAGCTTAGAGGAAAATAGAAATTTGTTGGAAAAAAGGAACTAGTTATCTACGTCTTAGCAACACACAGAGTCGCTTGGTACTGAAACACACATCTTCCTTGTTTACTTAGGAGCCAACATATTAAACACCAAGAGCAATCTTGTCAAGAACTGATACTTGGGGTCAGAAATTGAAAAATAGATTCCCCCTATTTTGTGTATATGGCAAAGAAACAAGGATGATTTCGGACAAGGACGAGAAGCTTGCAGGGAGCGATAGCAACAACGTTTGGAAACACATTCGAAAGACGGTGTTTAGAAGGATCTGCCTGCACTAGGAATGCAGAAACTGGTATAACTTGACAAAGGGGAAGACAGCTGTCGATTTTTTTCCCAACCTAAACCGACAAAGTCTCCACCGAATTTTTTCATTAATCGGAACCTTAACTCTCCACTCATGAGGTCATGCGATTTTAACGCAGGTTAACTGTTTAAAAACGCCAAATACATATTTTGAGTGTTTTTAGAAACTCTCCACTCTCCACAGACATGGTGCAAACGGACCTAAAACTTGTTTAATTAATTCATTTTACAGATGAAAATTGGTGTGGAGAGATTTAACACACCTTCCATAATTAAAAAAAAATGGTAAAAAGCGTTTTTGTCTTTCATTTAGCAGCTCTTCTGTGGATTTGTAATATAATTTACGTCTCCAAAAGCGGAGTTTCTGAAAACACTCACATTGACGTATTTAAATGATCGTTGCCTTAAAAAAATCGTATGATTTCGTGAGTGGAGAGTTAAGGTTCCGATTAATGAATAAATTCGGTGGAGACTTTTGTCGCTTTTCAAAAGCTCTATACTTTTTGTAGAGTTGTTCAAGTTACTCCAAAATGACAGAAATTATGTAAATTCTATTGATTTAATAATATCTACACTTTTTTTAGAGTTCTATGCCCCAATAAACTTATTTCGAGCAAAAAATTTGTAAATATAGTAAGCAAACTCAAACCAAATGTTGTCTGTTTTTTGTCTTTATTTATCCACAAGTTAAAGCACACTGATTGCACCGCAATGCAAGTGCGCGCTCTCATGACAAATCTTCGTATCATAAACTACCGTTATTCGAATACTTTTTTTGTAAGTTTTTCTATATTTAATGTGTAGTACATATGTATTGTATTTCATTATATTATGCGTATAATATAATATATGATAATAACCATTATTTAATTGCATAATAGTTTTGATAAATATTTTAATTATAATTATACGAAAGTCTTCTTATACGATATTACAAAAAGGGTATAGTAAATTTTGAAATACTAAAAACTAGCGGCTAAAAATGTTTTTGATGAAATACATAAATCAAAAGAATATTGAATTAAATTGTAACATGGTAAGTTGTTGAGGCGCATAAAAAATTGTAAGAGGAAAAAATTTAAATTAAAAAAAGAAAAAACAAGCTATAAAAAAATTAAAATATTAAAAAACATGTTATGCTATTTCGAAAATAAGAACAAAATATTTTTTCACAAACGGTGGTGATAAGTTGTTGTGGCGCGTGAGAAGTTGTTAAGAGGGAAAATTTTAAATTAAAAAATATGTGATATACAACTTTGAAATTAAAAATAACAAAACAGTTTGATAAAACAAAAATTAAAAAAGTCAAGATATAAATGCCTCGTAACTGTGTAAACCTCGTAAATAAACCGGGTTTCCGTACAAAATTAAACAATTTTACGAGGTTTGCGTGGATATGAGACTTTGTATGTAAATATTTAAAACCCGAAACGTTAGGTATACTAAATAAGTAAATAATATGAAAATACTCTAATGCCTTTGAATTTGATGTAATTTATAAAAATAACAATTTAATGTTTACATTACATCTAAACGTTGAAACTTAAATTGTGCGACAGTGCAGAAATTCAAAACTAAAATATGTTTTAGTTGTAATTTTTTATATTGTAGATAATGGTTTCACTACTTTTTTTTAGTATAAGTATATTTTGGACATCATTTCTTTACACAATAAAAACGTCGTTATTTGCGACATATACCCTTAACAACACATTTAGTTGAATATGCATATATGTGTGTAAGTAGTCGGGTTTGTGTGTGTGTTTATCAAGTTTTTAGCCATATACGCTTATATTTTTGTATAATGTATGT